TGACCCAGTGCAGGACCTGAGTTCAGACCTCCGGCACACACAGAAACTATGGTGGGTGTGTCTGTGACCCAGTGCAGGACCTGAGTTCAGACCTCCGGCACACACAGAAACTATGGTGGGTGTGTCTGTGATCCAGTGCAGCCACTGTAGTCATCAACAAGCCTTTCTAGTTTTCTGACTGTGATCTTTCTCAACCTGCTCACTGAAGAGCCAGAATGGAGTCAGCTAGACCTTGTATAGCACAATGCATATTTAGGTGGGTCCTGCCTGCACAACTGAATACGCAACAAAAATGTGCTCTGTCTGTCTCTCACTCTATCTCACACATAATTAGCTTTTTAAGAACAATACCCTAGTAGTTACGATACAATAATTAATATATTATATGTGACACTGGAGATGCATTCCCAACCTTAAAAGCTTAGGGGAGAGGGGAGTTTGTCCATAATTTAAGGATTGAGGGAGATTTAAAAAATTATTTATTTATCAATTAATATAATTATCTATATATGAAAAAGATACACCCACAAAGAGCCCTCATGTTGGTATGAAAGTATATAAATACAAGAGAATATAACAGTTGTACCATATAGCATCAACTAACTCAAAGCAAGTTGAGATCAGATCAACAGAGGTTTAAGAGGAAAAACATGTTAAAAAAAACCAAAACAAAACAAAACAAAAAAAAAACCTCAGGGGCTGGAGAGATGGCTCAGTGGTTAGGAGTATATGCTGTTCTTGCAGAGGAGGCAAGCTCAGTTCCCAGCACCTGACAACCACCAGTTCTAAAGGCTCAACACCCTCCTCTGTTCTCTAAAAGCACTGCACTCACTGTACAATTACACATAAATGTACATAAACTAACAATCATATATACAAATACATAAATTAGCAAGAAAAGGAAAAAATTTCTAGGGAACTTAAATGACAAAAATCTATATATTGGACTAACTTTAAAAAACAAATGTGAAGGCTAGAGCAATACGCTGCTCGGCCAAAGGGCTCAGGTTTGATCCCTACTATCCACATGATGGTTGACAATTATCTGTAACTCCAGTTCCAGGGAGTGTGATGTTGTAGGCACCAGACATATATGTGTACTGAGTGATACACAGACATATATGTAGGCAGAACACCCATATACGTAAAAAAATGTGAAGGCAAAGTAAACGAAGAGAGAGCTACAGCCACAAGGTAGAGCGGTGAGAGTTGTGCCATGTGCCTCCGAGTCAAGTGGGGATGAAGCAGAGATAGTATCTCTGTGTTGAAAGTCACAAATCCTGGAATGCAAAACTAAAAAATGAGGTATATTTTAAAAGTTTAAAAATAAAAAGCTAGAAGTAAACAGAATACATGGTTTTTACTTTTCCAACAGTAAGAAGACTGCACTAAGTTATTACTACTCCCCTGCCTCAGTGGCCACATGGAAAAAGCATTAAGCAATGGTCATTTGAACAATGCTTCCAAGAGTATGATAAATACCCTCCTTATAAACAAAACTAACTCAGAATTCCTTGTTGTCTGTCTCAGGAACCTTGCCTTAAGACACTGTCCGAAGCAGACTTGAGGGCTTCTCCACACTGTGTGTCCGCTGGTGGTGGTTAAATGTGGAACGCTGGCTGAAGGCTTTCCCACACTCAATACACTCGTAAGGCTTCTCACCAGTGTGAACTCTCTGGTGCACAATCAGCTGTGAGCTGTCACTGAAGGCTTTCATGCAATCTTTACATTTGTAGGGCTTCTCACCAGTGTGGGTTCTCTGGTGAACCATAAGGCTAGAGCTGTAGCTGAAGACCTTCCCACACTCATTACACGCGTATGGTTTCTCACCAGTGTGAATCCTCTGGTGGATGATGAGGTGAGAGTTCTGATTGAAAGATTTCCCACATTCGCTGCATTTATAGGGCTTTTCTCCAGTGTGAAGTCTCTGGTGCCGAATAAGGCATTTACTTAAACTGAATTTCTTGCCACACTCACTACATTCAAAAGGCTTTTCCCCGGTATGAATCCGTTTGTGGTCAATGAGCTGAGAGTTCTGGCTGAAGGCTTTCCCACATTCACTACATTTGTATGGTTTCTCCCCACTGTGGAGACTCTGATGTCGAATAAGACACTTACTCCGACTAAAGGCCTTGCCACACTCACTACATTCATAAGGCTTCTCCCCAGTGTGGGTTCTCTGGTGGTCACTAAGATTTCTGTTGGAGCAGAAGGTTTTCCCACACTCGCTGCACTCATGAGGCCTCTCCCCAGTATGGGTGCTCCTGTGGTCCAGGAGCTGCGAGCTCTGAGTGAAGGCTTTGGCACACTCATGGCATTTAGATGGTTTCTCCCCGTCGTGGAGTCTCTGGTGCTGACTAAGATGGGAGCAGAGCTGGTACGTCTTCCCGCACTCACTACATTCATAAGGCCTCCCCGCCACGTGTGTTCTGAGGTGAACAGTTCGCTGAGATGGCAGTCGGAAGGTCTTCCCGCACTCATTACACTCACAGGGCTTCTCTCCAGTGCGGGTTCTCTGGTGCCCAAGGAGGTGTGAGCTCCAGTTACAAACTCTGTCACACTCATCACATTGACAGAGCTTTCGTCTCTTTGCTTCTCGCTGATGCTCAGCAGAACTAGAGGAAAGATCTGGACGTTCCCCTCCATCTTTACACTCCTCATTTCTGTCTTTTATGGAATTTTCCTTATCTTTCTTTTCCAAGAAATCACTTTCTCGTTCACTCTCTTCATCACCTGAGGGCCGCCCTTCCACCTGTGCTACAAGATCTTCACAGATATCTCCAGACTCTGGTTCTACCAACGCCATCCCAAAGAGTCCCGCTGAGGATATGTCAAGTGAATCGGATCCTTCAGAAACATCGTGCTTTGAAGTGTACTCAGAGCTTTCCATCCTGTTCTTACCTGTTGCTAAAAGAAAGAAAAAGACAATTTTTACTATTTTTTTGTCCTTTGTAACTGAAAAGAATAATATTATCATTAAGGAATGAGACAACATATTGAGAAGTAGAGAGAAAAGAGGAATAATGGTCCAGAGAGGAGGACAGGGAGGAAGGGCAAGGATGGAGGAACCTGAGCCTGGGAACCAAGAGCCGGGTTGTACAGCACAACATTGCACCATCTCCCAGAGTCACTGTGACACGGTCTTCTTAGTGAGTGGCTAAAGTAGGTCCTCCCCACCCTGACATTGTACAGTAGGTCCTCCCCACCCTGACATTGTACAGTTCCATGATGCGGGATTCCCCTCTGTGAACATGTTTTATTGGTTAATAAAGAAGCTGCTTTGGGTCAATGGCTTAGCAGAGCAAAGCCAGTTGGAAAATCTGAACAGAGATATATAGAGAGAGTAGGCAGGTCAGAGAGAAGCCATGTAGTCACTGCAGGAGACAGATGCGCTGGAACCTTAACAGTAAACCATGAGCCTTGTGGTAAAATATAAAATAATAGGAATGGGTTAATTTAAGATATAAGAGCTAGCCAATAAGAAGTGTGAGCTAATAGGCCAAGCAGTGTTGTAGTAATACAATTTCTGTGTGATTATTTTGGGTCTGGGCAGCCAGGACACAAAAGTGCAGCCTCTGTTTACAGTTCCACAGTCTCCAAAAATATGCTGGGCCATGTGTGGTGGTTCCTTTAATCTCACCTCTTAGGAGGTAGAGGCAGGTAGATCTCTGTGAGATCAAAGTCAGCTTAGTCTATATAGAGTTCTAAGCCAGACAGAGCTACAGTAAGACCTGTGGAGAGAGTGGAAGTAGTTGGTTTAGGGAGGGAGGGAACCTTGTCAAGAAAGAAGGCGAAGATGGCAGTGAGCTGATGACAATTTCCACTGTGACATTGTGATGAGAGTTCAAACTGATCTGTGCAACGTGTCAGTGGGAACACGTGCACACGTTCAGAACAGGGTTGCAGGGGATGGCAGAGCTAGGGACTGGGCAAAGCTAGTTCTATATACCTATAAAAATTAAAAGCACCAGTGGTTTGAAATATAAAGCATGTCCTTATGATCTTGTCTCTAAAGTAATAAGGAAATTAAATAGTTAAATATTGGTCTGCAGTTTTGGAGGTTCAGATGTAAAATCTGGAGAAAAATTCATGGTTATCAACAAATACCAAAATGTTGGTTTCTTTAAAGCATTTTGCAATGAGGCCCAGGTCAGCAAATCTTTAGCAAATGAAACTTTAAAATATTTAGGCTAGTAACTTTCATGTCCACCCTCTGTTAAGTTGTCTACTGTCCTGAGTTGCTAATCACAGGATGAGTCTTGGGTCAAGTAACCCTGAACATGCCCCAGGGGTGACAGACAGGTGATTAAAGCTGGCCAGGGACCAGAAAGACCCAAGTCTTAGCTGATCTGTAGCTCATCATCAGCATCTGTTGGAGCCTGGGCCAGCGACTTTCAAAACACAGAGAAGACTAAACACCATCTTGGTCAGAATCCACTCTACGGAAATTCTGACCTCAAAACAGGCAGAATTATGAGGCGGTCTAAGGCTGGAAGGTCCACAGATCCCGAAGTCACAGTGAGCAGGAAGAATGAGAACTGGAAAATGAGTACCAGTGGGAGAAGCGCAGAGCAAACACCCGAGAGCAGCTGCATTAGTCACATGGACACCGTGTAAATCTCCCGTCCTTGCATTGCTGAGTCTCTCAGACCTCCACTCCCCATTGCCTATTCTGCCTGCTTTGTTCTGGGTCCCCGTTCTTGTAATCCCTTAAACACAAAGACCTTTACTTCCAAAACCCACAGAACTCTTACTTATGGCTAAGAAAATCCAAGTTAGCTCTCTACTGTTGATCAGTCATTAAATAAAGAAAATGACCACTATTAAACTGGATGGGTGCATCCAATTTATGTTTGCAAATATTCATAGTAAAAAGTTAAAACAAATCAAATCAAAAGAATCCAGGACTATGATGTCCAGAGGATGGACTGCTAGTTACCAGACATGGGAATCATTACCCAGAGAGGCCACGCTGTGCTCATCTTCTGCCATCATGTTCTGGTTCAGGGCGTTCTGACTGAGTGCCAGGCTTTTCCACCTTTTCTGCATAGAGTCCTTATTCACTGTAATCTCCTAGAATGACAAGCTTCTATTGTTCAGAAAGTCTCAGCCAGAAGAGCAGAGTTCTCAGGAGTACATCACAGAGAACAGATGGCAGTGGGAAAGAGCTGGGTTGACAATCAAAAAGAACAAAACTGGGCTGAATGGAACCCATTACAGCCGGGGGCAGGGGCCTAGTTCCAGGGGAAGCACTGGGCAGGAGAGCCCGAGGAGCCACCTCAGGGAGGTGGACTGGAGGTGAGTTCCACCCACTCCCCCACACCCCAGACATGGAACCAAGAGAAAGAGAGCCACACTCACCCGAGGCCTGACCATCCTAAGCTCAGCAGCCACTGTGGAGTTCCCCACAGTAGCCTGGGCTCTGGCACTCCCCACTTCAAGAAAAGCTGGACCTGGGGTGAAAGGTGAACGCAGAGGGTCAAGCCCTGCTCTCAGCTCCCTAAGGTCCATCGGTCAGGGAAGTGGGATTTGTGGGTGTCCAGAAAGCTCCACATACACTGATTCTTAGCTTCTTCCAGAGACCTCATCCCAAGTGTGCTCGGAATGTCCTTCAGAGGGCACAGCCAGGTTCCTTTCAGGCCCCTCTCTCACCTGTCTGAAACTCTGATTATTCTCTTTGCCTTAATTTCCACTCCCAAGATTGATTTACCCTCCTGTCTTAAAAAAAAAACTTATTTAATCTATATGTACAGGTGTTTTGTCTGTACATCACCTGTGTGCCTGATGTGGAGACCAGAGGTGTTAGATCCCATGGAACTGGAGTTATAGATGGTGATGATCCCACCATATTCATGCTGGAGATTGAGGTTGGAAACACAGGTTTCCAGACAGCCTCTGCCATCTGGAATTGCTCCTTTTCCCCCACTCAGTGCTCCTCCTCCCTCCGTCAGTGATCCTTCCTCCTTCCTCCATCAGTGCTCCTTCTTCCTCCGTCAGTGTTCCTTCCTCCGTCAGTGCTCCTTCCTCCTTCCTCCGTCAGTGCTCCTCCTCC